CCTTTCAGCGGCTGCCGTCGACTAGCCGAAAGTATTATCACAAATCACAAAGTATTATTGCTTCTTGTGCTTGCTGCACTGAAGAAGGAGGAAAGAAGTTAAACATAGCCCCGTCAACATCCCGATGGCGGGGTAGGGGTCAATTGAGTCATACATTTCCCAATGTGAAAATGGACACAAATAATAACGATCTAGCATCGCTGTAGTGTAAGACTATACTATTATTTATACTCGGTATATTGCTGTCTCAGAATGTCCAGCATTCGAAGCCGTTTGAATCTTTAGTAACACTATAAAAACAATCACCGTGAAACTAACTCGATGCTGCCTAAATCCTCGCAATGTCCAGTGTGCCGAGTGTGGTGTGACGCAACCAACACAAAGATCTGAGCAATCTGGGAACTCGTGCCGCGAAGGGGAAGGAGGGGTGGGGAATACATCACGGACAGGGATACATCACGATGCCCGATGCCAAGTCGATTAGTATCGCGACCACGACTCGGCAACGTCACACCCAAGTATCTTGTCCCTAGACCTACCTACTTATATTTATTTTAAAAGCAATAAAAGTGTTTATCAAAAATTAAAAGCAATAGTACCATGGAAACTAAATAACATAATTAAATACAATATATCTTAATATATATAAATCTCGTGTCATAATGTTTGTCCTCAATGGACTCCTAAACCACTGAACTGATTATAATAAAATTCGCACACCATGTGCAGTTCGATCCAACTTGAGAGATAGGATAGTTTAAATCTCAAATTATAGTCGCAATTTTAATTTATTGGAATTATTACTTTTGGGCGGTACGAAGTTCGCCGAGTCAGCTAGTATATATATATATATATTTGACAACCTCCGTGGCCGAGTGGTTTGTACGCCGGGTTTCATAATGTCGCCGACTCGAGAGGTCCCGGGTTCGAATCTCGCGTGGGGGCAGATGTTTGTGTGATGAAAACGAGCATTTGTACTCCAGACATGGATATTAAATATGTATTTCTATATAAGTATATTTATATATGTACATTATATGTATTCTATCCGTTACCTTAGTATGCCATAACACAAGCCTTACAGTGCTTACTTTGGGGCTAGGCTAATTGGTGTGAATGTTGAAAATATTTATATATATATATATATATATATATATATATATGTATGTATGATGACCTATTTACCAGTCATGAATCGAAAATAAAAACTTGTACTCATTACAAAAATCATGCCCATACCAGGATTCGAAACCAGGACTATTCGAGCAGGTAAGCTGGAGCGCTGTCGTATAAAAATCTGGCAAAGTGCGTGTCCGGAGACGAGCTAGGTAAGGTTCCGTAGTCGGCCATCTCATCACAAAGCGGAAATCGTAAACTGACATCTGGGTCTAGGTGCTGACACATATGCGCGCAATTATTGCGTTATTCGAGAGTAAATATTATAATTTATAAAACAAGCGCCTCCACCACAGAAATGATTAATTTTTGTGGCCCCCAAAAACTCTTTATTCCCAGCAGTCTATGTAGCTAGTTCCACGCGGAACTATTGCTTAGTAGTTCCCATACATGGAACTAGTGACAGTATTACCAAACCTTACTATTAATTCGCAGCAGTTCCATATTAAGGATAAATAATAACATATACACTAGCTATACTATATCACAGCTAGTTCTACTTGTAGTCTCAAAAGACTTATAAATATCACGAAGAGATGTCATCTGTTAACACGGACTCTTGTTCTGGTAAAACGAAGATTTACGAATGGCTAGCTTATTCAAGCAGGGCAGAGAATCGATTGAAGATGACCAGCGCTCAAGAACTATTGTCGAAGATGCGCGTTTGGAAAATAATATCACAGAAATGACCGATCTATAAAGATTTTCAATACTCTTCATAGCCATCTTGGCATGTCAAAGGTCAGTGCAAGATAGGTGCCGAGAATTCTCACATCGCTTCAAAAGCAAAAGCGCGTCGAGACAGATATGAGAATTTGTGGTCTAACCTGGAGCATGCAAACTCAAATAATGCGGAATTTACCCTTGCCTTGAAGATCCCTTATTTATAGAGAGAGAGATTATATATATCGGGGAATAATGATGCAGGAAGGGAATTCCATTCCCTAGAGGTTCGCAATTTCACATATTAAAGAAGAACGCGAATCGTGAGGGACGCCTTGAAGGAATGTCATCCATCAAATATAACGATTGCGTAATACTAACTATTATTTACTACCAAGTACGGGGAGTAAAATTTAAGAAGATCAAAGAGTTTAATTAGTGTCATAAGCTTTACCATTAACTTAAAAATTTCGAGAAATAGCATAATAAAACTCTACACGTATCAGGTTTAACTTATGATAAATTTAATCAAATCGTCGTAAATTTTAATTTATTGCTCCGAAACGAACATCGGGTGGGATTACGGGAACAAAGCGAATCGAAATTCGTGCATCGCAAGGTGCGAGCATCGATAGATGAATCGAGAATCGGGATGAGAACGCCGGCGCCGCTAACACAAAGCGAGACATTCCATGGTAACGAGTGATGTATCGCACCACCCTCAAGCAGGGTTGTCTAATAAAATAACGTTTTGTATGTCCTTTGAGTGTTTTTTATGATGGCTCTCGTTACGCTCTCACGGCTCCACTCATGGATGCCAATTGATTTAAATGAATCGCGGTTCGTCTTATACATGGTCACATCATCACAACATCTGGAAGACAGTGCACCCACTATCATCAAACTTAAGACAATGTGCCATACGCACCAATCACCCTTATCTTGCTTGACTGAACGGTGGCGGCCACCGGCGCGGCGTACCGTGTGTCGCGAGTCCATATAAAATGTATGAAAACTACAAGAAATATGCCGGTGGCGGCGTTATATGGTTGTGGTCGGTGGCCCGTGTGCGGCGACACTTATACTTACTTTCGCGGACTTATAGAAAGCTCATTCGATTCGTCCAATATGTTTTCCTACCACCCATTCAGGACATCTTTTAGCTGATAAAAAAGAATGAAGAAACTTATCAGCATTAACAGAAGTAACAACATTTACATAAATCTTGTCGCTACCAATACAATCGATTAAATACATTAATTAGTTATGTGTTACATAGTTAGTCGTGAATTTAATCAGAAGACTGTATTACTTCAATGAGCGAAGTGTTCTTTTTTACCAGATACTTCGATCATTCAAGTAATCTTGGCCTCTATAATATCCTTTGCTCATTAGAGAATTTTTCACATGAGTTTTTAGTTTATGAAGGGGTAGATAACAATACTGTGTATATACAAAGCTATACATTTCCCTAAAAAATAGTTTTGTGTTTTTTGTAATCCCTATTGTAAAATGTCGAACCCTATTAGCACCGTGGCGAGTGCCCGACTACAACCTAACAATCCTATGTCTAAGACACGAACAAGCTCCACTAACTAGGGGGTAAAGCTTCAAGCGACGATCATATCGACCGACCAATTAAGCAATCGGTCATAGAAAGCGCAAGTTTGGGAAAACCGTAACCTTCGCACAATGTTCCGTATCATCATGGTTGTATGTACTACCTTAACGGCACATTAAAACAATCCACCTCACGGTAAGTAGCTATAATACACTGGTACTGTCATTAATAATTGTACTTATTATTAAATAAAATCTACTTTGTAAGGTTTTCACGACCAACCCATTGAATAAAACAAGTTTCAACGGTATAGATGCACTGATTAATTTATTTATGACGTTTCGCATACTTTTCAGGCGGCGTCGTCAGAATTCTGACTTCAGCCTGAAATGGAAGGACCGTTGATTTTTATTTTATTTAAAATCTTATTTTTAGTTTTTTCTAAGTCTTAGTTTTTCGTTGCACTCAGAGAAATCTAAGAATGCCCTGTACTGACGAGGGACTTTTACCCGCCAAGGACAAATATCCCTGAATCGTGAAAAAAATGTCGCCCAGGACTTGTCACGGACTTAACCCACACGGTGCGCGAGCATTTGTTATCCAAAAATTTTGAGAGTTTTATTTTCAGATTATGTTGTGTTATAATGAGCATTAAGTCTAACAAAAGAGATTACGTTATGAAGGAGAATACTGGGTCCATCTTTTTAAATTGGATCAAGCGGCAACGCGGACTTAAGATCGCTGTGTACCTACGTTGCTGCGCTTAGTCACATGAGTTCTATTTTTTTCGAGAACAAACGCGAACTTTTGTCCTATCCGGTCTCTTGATGTCCTCGGTTGTTCGCGGGACTTTTAATTCCTCGCATGCATTACTCGATGTAGTTACTGTTGTAAATGACATATTTTGGCGTCAAGCTTCATAAACTACCTACATACGTGGCATTTAAAAATTAGAAAAAAGCAAATTAAAAAAGAATATTCTGCAAGTCTGTAAAAGCCCTTATTAAAACTTATGTCGGCACGATAAATGAAACTTGCTAGTAATAAAACGCACACATTTTACAGATAGTACTGCCTAATTTATATTTAAAAGTCACCGACTTTCAAAAAGTTGTGTCCGTCGTGAATTATAAACTCTCTCTGAAGAAACTTATCAGTTCTAATACTAATCTCAACTTCTATTCGTATTCTAATATCGTAACTTCTTATCTATTCGTGACACATCTCGTAACATAGTATTGATTCTATTTTATGCTATCATCATCAGCCTATTAATGGGACTGCTGGGGCACAGACCTTCCCTGTGGATGGATTAGGGAGATTGGAACATGACCCACCACGCGGGCCCAGTGCGGGTTGGTGGGTGCGAACGACTGCAGATGCAGCCGGGACCAACGGCTTGACGTGCCCTTCGAAGCACGGAGGAGATAGTAAATTTTTGGTTACCCATCCAATGACCGACCACTGCGAAAGTTGCTCAACTTCAACGAACGCGCTAACCACTGGCGCCATCAAGCGCCTCATTTTTACTCCAAATTTTATGCTATGCTCATGTTTTTTCGCTCGTACTTAAAGAGGAAAATAATTAATGTTTCGTCACCTCTTTATCGACGCAAAAGGGATCGTTGCTCTTTTTCACTGTAGCGGCCGTATACATCTGTTGGGACTGAACTTGTGGACAAAATGTTAATATGCATGGATCACACTGAAACATTATAATAAAAAAATCATTAGTTAAAGTATAATTTAATAAGCCATCGTTACAGACCGGTTGTACAGACACTATGCGTTGCTTCTTTATACTGGTACATATGCGATTACATGACCTTTAGGGCTGGACAGTAAATTTTTTGCTGTTGAAATATTTTTCAAAACAAGTTTTGTATAGAATATATATTTTTTTTTAGAAAAATCTACCAGATGATAATTTAATTTGACTTTTAAATTCAGGAAACCTAATTAATTTGTCTCTTTAGAAATGCATCCGTTTTTACGTGATAACGTCTTATAAATCGATAAACACCGGCGGCACCCACGAAAAAGTGTGACGTCATGTCACGTTATGTCACGAGGTAGGAGTTAATTCAACGTTTCGTGGTGTGTGTGAGGTGAGGTTCGATGATGTTGCTTCTCCTTGCCACCATCGAAGATGCGCGGTGCGAGTAATAGTCTAGGCTAACCTGACCTAACCGAATCTACTCCACTGCTCAACACGTAGCTACAGTTTGACCCAGGTGCCTACCTTAACAGGTGTAGGCGGTGGAGGAGGTGGTGGAAATGTGCTAAGGATCTTCCGGAGCTTGTCACTGGTCCGGAGACAGCCGCAGCGGCCACGCCATCGGTGATGATGCTTTTCCTTGCCTCCGTCAAAGATGCGCGGCGCGCTCTCTTCAACCTGCTTCTTGTTAATAATGTCAGATTCCATACGTGTCCAAGCACTTGAGAATACTGTAGAATGCACCAAAATGTATTTTAAAGTCGGGATTTATAGTCAACATGTTTACAGGTGAATTGTACATTCGAGCGACGTTATGTCACTCGAATCGATGTCAATGCCATTCTACCCCAGGTCCGTGCCACCACCACAAAAGTTCTTTCTAAAATTTCTATCACAAAAAAAATTAGATCGAAAAGAAAACTTCAGAATTGAATATTGTTGAACAATACCTAAACAAAGGGAATGTTTAATAATATTTTAGGAGGAATTAATTTAAATATCAAATCCAAACGATTTTACATCACGCAAGAACCCAAAATCCTCTGCGGTGCCGGTGCGGTGCCCTAAAATACTTACGAACGAAATTCTAAATTCTTACTACCTTTTCCGCAACTTCTTAAGATAAATAAATGGCTCTTTACGAAAATTCGGTTTCAACGCTCCGTCCTCCTAAATTTAAAACCGTAAACACACGTTACATAAAAATTTTGATAAACACAAGACATAAATATTTTGATGGCTGTTTGGTAAACTTCATTAGAATGACATTTCAAAATATTGTGTCATTAAAGAAATACCTTACTATAGAGCCTTGGACTAGGAATTCATGGACTTATTATGGAAGAATCTCGCAAAAATGCTTGGGTAAATTTGATAAGGGTAGGGAATAAATACACCAACGGAAACTTAGCTCAATGTTAGGGTCCAATCTGTTACAATTCAAATTGTAAGCTTTTGATCAAACCAAGTCAGGTTTAATAGAGACAGACGCATTTAAAAATCCTAAATTACCTGATAACTGCTATATAACGGTGATAACTAGGAATAATTTGAAAAAACCAATTGAAATAATAAAATAAACCAAATATAAATAAAATCTTTAATACTTATAAAAAATATATTTACCCATACAAAGGTTTCAAGCTGACATAGTGATCTATCAACGCACAGCCCAAACCACTGAACGGATCGGCCTGAATTTTGGCATGCAGGTAGATATTATGACGTAGGCATCCGCTAAGAAAGGATTTTGATCAATTCTACCCCCAAGGGGATAAAATAGGGAATGAAAGTTTGTATGAAACTTTGTCAATTTTAAAGCGATCGGGCTTAGACTTTGCATGCAGGTATAAGAAGAATCATAGATGAATGTCATTGTGTATAATACAAGCCTGAGAACAAAAACTGAAGTCAACACTTCAGCTCTACACCGAAGCGAAGCGCGAAGCTAGTTTAATACAAGAGTTAAAATCTAAATTTGACTCAAACATAATTTAGTAAGAAAGGTCTGATCAGAATTTGAATACGCAAAACATAGAACAGCAAAAACCCAGTGGAAAAAATACAAACGGCCCATAAACGGCGCAAGTAAATAAACAGACAAAATGCAGTAGAAAATCTCGTGATTCATGGAACAATTTGGGCAGGTTGACCGGCTGACAGGCACGTACGGGGCGAAACACCGGCGTGCGAAAACCAGCGTTAAACGTTTTATCGCCGCTCTGATTCGCACCAAAGAATTCTGTTTGATCAAAATTATACCGAGTTACATCAACTAACTCAGAATAGCTAAAGCAGTCGTATCTCGCACGTTAGCATTGGAAATTTTATTTTTATCTGTCAAAAACATTGTTAATAAATATGGAAAAATTGGATAAATAAATTGTACCGAATGGTACTAACCGTCCACTACCTACTATCTACATTTTGTGGCATCGTTGTTGCTTAATGTGTAAATTCTAGACAGCAGTGATTAGGTATTAATGTGTCTCATGATGATGCGCTGCCAAACCTACAACTGTCACAATATAATATGACACTAAACTTTGGCCACCCATCAGTTAACTCATTATATTTAAGATTTGATATTGAGATATCAATAGCCTTTCTATTATTTTAATTTTAAAGTACATAATTTTTTGCTCTACCCTTGTTAAGTAAATTAATATTCATTAACCTGTGTCGTCTTTGTGTGTGTGTGTCTGCTTTTAGAAAGTGAACAGCTCAATGAGATCGAATATTTGGTTATTTAGAAGTGTATACACAGCCATAATCTATTTCTACCGAGCAGTTTTTCTCGTGTCTCTCTCACTACGGGACATTGGCGAAATTTCTGTGTGAAACGGAGAAAACCACAAACAAAAAAATGGTTGCCTGTAAAGTCGGTTTTACGGGCGAAGATTTTACGTGACAACGTCTTTTTCTCGGTAGAATATTTATTGATATGAATATAATTAAATTGCACAATAGGAACAAGGAATTGAATGAAAATAAGAATTGCACAAATTTTAACTATAGAAATATATTTTGTTTACTAAAACATTGTACATGTAAACTTAAACTCATCGTAACGTTACCGAGCGTTACACTTTTTCATAAGTGACTCCCAGCCGCAACCTAATTTAAGACGTTGTCACGTCAAAATAACAGTATAGATGAGTAGGTAGCAGTTAGTGGTCTTGAATAGCCCTTTTTTGATAAACCCCCACTTGGAGCTGATGTGGTGACAGCCTTACCCTCGACCATAGCTTGCTCGGTGAGTTCAATGGGCAGCAGTGACCTTACAAAGGTCTGACAGTCCAGCACAAGATGATTGTATTACGATTCAATAGCTGAACTGACGTACCTACATAGTTCAAGTTGACCAATATTGTTTTACTTATCGATAACCTATTTTATCTGAATTAATAAACTAACCATCGTACATTAGATAGAAAAAAATGCTTTGAAGTCTATGGTAGAAAATTATCGCGGCCTTGCGTTAAATTGTATGTAGGTGTGTTATTAAATTAATAATTATAATCATTAATCACGATACTACAGACAAATCTTCCCGTTTTAATCCACTGCTAATCTTAAACCACAACACAATACAAAAGCAGTAGATAAGCATTTTGCAAATTATCCATTTCTTTAGCGAAATCTTTTGTATGATTTAATAGTATTTTAAGTAGCGACGAGTTAACGGTTAACGTTAGTGTGAATTTTATAAACGTGACATAAGAAAGGCATGCATGGATTTTTATTGTGCTCACAGACGAAAGAAATAAAAATAAGTTCAACGTAACGGGAACTATTCTAACGTTTTGCCACCAAAATGTCGTCGCTTCGCCGTGTTCACATAGGGCGTCTATACATTTTGTTATTGTTGTAAAACCGAACCTATTTATAGACGACCTTCGTGGCCGAGTGGTTTGCACTCCGGGTTTCATGGTGTCGCCGGCTCGAGAGGTCCCGAGTTCGAATCCCTGTGGGGGCAGATGTTTGTGTGATGACTACGAGCATTTGTACTCCAGTCATGGATCTTTAATATGTATTTCTATATAAAATATACTTATTTAAGTACTGTATATGTATTCTATCCGTTACCCTAGTATCCCATAACACAAGCCTTACAGTGCTTACTTTGGGACTAAGGTAATTGGTGTGTGTTGGAAATACACACATCAAAAGTGTCTAGGGATCAACATATATTTTTGCAATAACTTTTCTCCTGATTGATATTAATTAAAATTTTCTTTAAGGATTCATCAAATAAAGTGTTTTCGTTTGTCACAGTAACGATAAACCAAGTCACCTTTGCATTAATAAAGAAATTTGCCATTTTCCTAATAAAGGGATTTTTGACATTTGAACCACTAACACAAAAGTTCGAAAAAAAGACTGAAATAACAGTTTTCTCTAAAATTTTATTGGGTAACTTAAACAATTAATAATCCGTATTTCTACCGCGAACACTAACAACACAAGAACATCGGTTTGGCATACTCAAAATGAGTTCATCCAAATCACGCTGTGGAATGGCCGCCCATGTTCGTTGCAACAACAAAAAAAGGTCTTCTTGCGACTGGATACCCTCCATATTCGGCAGAGCTCTTCTCTGTAGCATATCCCATGCATGCTCAATCGGGTTCAAGTCTGGCGACTGAGCAGGCCAGGGCAGGACATTGATGTTAGCTGCGGCGAGAGTCTGTCTTACAACTCTTGCGGTGTGCGGTCGTGCATTATCATGCATTAACTGAAATAAGGGACCGATTTGCACTTGTAGAGGAACGATGACGTCTGATACAATCGTCTCAGCATAAATTTGAGCGTTAAGGTTGCCTCTGATCCAAATCAACTCAGTTCTTCCGCCGATCCAAATACCCGCCCATACCATGATGGTTCCACCACTATAAGGATGGACTTCCTGGCAGGATTTTAATCGCTGTTGGCGTTCAGGGGTTCTCCAGTGTCGTATACGTCTTGTATCCGGTCTCATACCAAAACGAGACTCATCAGAAAAGCACACGAAACGCCATTGTTCTTCTGCCCAATTTCTGTGTTCAAGAGCCCATTGATATCGAATCCTACGATTGTGCATTGCTATAGGTGGTACCCGTAGCGGTCTTCGGGAATGAAGGTTCACTTCATGCAAGCGGTTTCTGACTGTTTGGTCGCTAATTAAGTTCCCTGAAGAGTGATGAAGCCTCACGGCTAACATCATGGCGGTTATTGTTGGAGCTCTTCGAGTTAAGATTTGAATGTATCGGTCTTGTCTCCGTGTGGTGCAGCGATACCGTCCTCCATGGCGCTCAGCCACGGTACCAGTGCTTCGGTATCGTGTCCAAAGTCGACTGATAACACTCTGACTTGTATTCAGAGCTAAAGCCACAGTACGTTGCCGGGAACCAGCTTCTATCATTCCCACGGCTCTGAGCATTTCTTCCCTGCTTAAATGACGTCGCCGCTCCATAATAACGTTGGTTTTAATCAGTAGTAGGGAAACAGTAGCACTAATAATGTCTTCAATGCGTTGTATGTTTTTATAGGGAAAATATTGACAGCTGATTTTCATCTTTTACTCGAATTTGATTCACAGTTCCTGATTCAAATTATGAAATGCACCAAAAAGGATCCATATAAATTTATAAAATCATAAATTTATTACAAAGCCACATCTCAATCTCAAGAAATCCGCATAAAAATGCTTGATCCCTAGACACTTTTGATGTGTGTATTTATTTATTCATTATTATTATAGAATAGGTACTTACATACTAACCTATTACTACTAATCACCACATATTCTTTGCGGAGATGGCAAAATATTGAAATTGTATGAGTAAAAAAACGGTAGGGCGATTGGAATGGAATGAAACGTAAAATTCATGGGTTTGTACCATTGGCACATCCCCTATTATTTATTTACATTCACTCCACTAAGAAGGATAGAAACATGAACCGTAACAGAACATATAATCATAATAAATATTGGTACATCCTGTACCCAATAAATGAATCAGAACTTGTGATAGAAACTTTCTGGAGATTTCTCCACAGCCTAAAAACGGCCTTTTCATGATATTATGTTGTTCTGTTGGTAATAAGTTCTAAGGCTCTTTGAGGTAGAGTTTAAAACCGGAAAAAGTTGAGGATGGCTGTAGGCAGGGCCAAGTTTCGAGGAGCCAGAGCACTTACGATGGTGACCTGTCGAATTTTGCTTTTTTTATCTCTTTTGTGGGGGCCCCTCTCTTGGGCCATAGCCCGGCCTGTACGC